TGTCAGAGGACTTGAACTTCAGAGTCACAAAGCTTAGGGCTGAGCACACCAGCAATGGGGAGGTTTTCCTGGTTCCCTTACTTCCTCTCCTGGCTACTTCTCCCCCTTCTCCCTCCTCGTCCCCACCTCCAATTCTAGAGCATTCAAAACCAAGCCCAAGCACAGGGCTGGGTGGGGACTGGCGCGGCCGTGGTTTTGCCTTTGCTTTCTGGTGTTAAATTTTAAAGAAGGAGATGTTCCCACAGACCCCAAGTCTCCAGAATCTTTTCACACGTCGGATGACCTCATGACCCTCACCTCACTTACTTGGAAGAGGGAACGTCAGCCGAAGCTGGGGGTGGGGGCTGGGTGGGGGGGTGGACGACTGTGTCTTTAGAGAGGACACCTGTCTCTCAAGGCAGCACAGCCTCCTCCAGCTTGCTTTGCTGGCGCTCTGGAGGCCTTTCCAAGCGCATCCCCTGGGTCAGTGACTCTTCTCCATCCCTCTCTCCTCCCCTGTTAAAGGAGAAACGCAACACAAACCCTCACTGCCGTCAGCTGGGTGCCAACTCACAGGGACCCTCAGAAATGGTTGCCGAGGTAGCCCGTGGGCTTCCTTCTATGCAGGGTGCTTTGTGCGCCGACGCTAGTCGGCGTCGATGCTGACAGCCAGGGTGGTGGACAGCACTGCGACGGGAAACAGAGGTCATTGCGGGACGGGGATGGCCCATCAACCTTCACGGGACCTGCGACCCCAGAAAGGAGATGCCCAAAGGGAAGGGAAGATTATTCCCAAAAAGCTGTCAGCCGCTTGCAGGTCTTCCTGGAGACACTCACTCATTACCTGTTGCTGCCGGCTCTCATTGCAAGGAACCAGGGTCACGGGGCAGCCCAGGAGGTCTCCTTCTGTCCGGCAGTCTGCACAGAAGCCAAGCCCAGTGTTGTGGAGCTGAAAGCAAATGTCCACACAAGTGACCCCACTGTGAGACAGGAGCCTCTCTGGGGCCTGGCTCTACCCCTGCACCCTGGGAAGTGACCACCAGGCACTGGGTCCCAACCGTAATAACAAGTGGAGTCAAGCTGAAGCCCCCAATCATAAGGAACTGGACTCATGATGGTGGAGGGCCCCTCGTCTCCCCTCCTGGGCTCTGAAACAGGTTAAAGGGCAACCCAGGCGACCCACCAAAAGCAGGCTATGCGGTCCTACTGAGTTTGTGATTAGATTAGAGGTCTTCAAGGGCCTCTGAGGCCCTACTGAGCTTGTGATTAGTTGGCCAGGGTCGACGCAGGAGCAAGAGGGCCGGAATCATCTCTGAACAGCCAGTTCTTTTCTCAGGAAACTCCCCCTCCTCGCCCACTGCCCGGGGTTGCTTGTGCCTTGCCTTTCCAGAGAACCCAGGCCTGTGCTCTGATGGGTACAGCTCAGGGTAGATGTTGGCCAGAAACCAGTGGAACATCCGGCATCCCAGTCTCCTTTGCAGCCGTAGGCGTTCTGTGCAGTCTGGCTTCTCAGCCTTGGGAGGAGAAAAGACACGTGGACTGAGAGAGAGCCAGCCTCTGGGAGAGGACTGCCTGGGGCAGAGTAGGAGGCTAAGGTCCACAGCCCCGCCAGGGCCGCCGACAAAGGGAACGAGAGGTGTCGGGAGAGGAGAATCCGGAAGAGGTAGGGTGGGATGGGCTTTTCTGAAATCGGAGTCCTGAAATCACCAAGTAGCCACCTGCTTTGTAATTTTAGCCCCCCCTCTGATAACCCATGAAGTCTTTCATCTCCACAGACTACAAGGTCCTTGCTTTGATGATGCTCCCCGAGAAGCCAGCCAAACAGCAGGACCTAGAGCCTAGTCAGTGTGATGCAGAGCTGTGCTGGGCCCCACGGAGGTAGGATTTGAACCAAGGACAGCTGAGAGCAAGGAGCTGTGAAACCGGCCGTGGGTGCCCAAACTTCCTCCTTGATGGAATCATTCATCTGGATCACCCTTCCCAGGGATTTTCCTTGACAAGGCAATTTTTTTTCTGGGAGAGACAAGAAAGCAAGTCCTTAACACTTCTATTAAATGAATGCTTTGGGCATCATTTAGCAAAATACATGCACAAAGAGCCCTATTCAGGATTTCAGTGCTTAGACCTGGACCTTGGTGGGGAAGATGATAATGAGGGGTTGTCAGAACTAAAAGGAAAGATGGAGGGAGGGAGAGAAGAGAAGAGAATGGAAGAGAAGAGAAGAAAGAATCAATTCCTGACCTGGGGGAAAAGAGGCAAAAAGGACCGTGAGCAGGAAGCTGACGTCAGACGTTTTGACTTTAAACCATTAAACCAAAGTGGTTGACTTTTTCCTTGAAGGGAATCGGCATTCCGAGGTGTGTTCGGCATCCCCAGCATTTCTTCTGAAGCTCTCGGTCCCCTCCAGCCCTTCCTGTAGGTTGGTGTTTGCTGCCTCTTCTTCACGCGAGCGCCCTCCGTCAGCTTTCTTGGTGATGAAGCCAACTGGCCACTCCCCCTCCCCAGCCCTTGTCTGGCTTCAACTGAGGGGCAATGCTGACAGTGAACTTTCTTCTCTGGACAACCATGCTGTGCGAGAGACCAAGAGAGCAACCCTGCCCCCACCCCCACCTCCCAGTGAGACTCCAGGCTTGTCTCTGAATTTCTGGGGTTCACTGTCTGGGTGAGGCTCTCAGAGGTAGAAGTCAGAAAGGGGTTAAGAGGATAGAAATCCTAGTGTGAAATCATTTTGAACGAGTTAACTGTAAAATAAGTGCATGCGATCAACCCCTTTCAGGAATTCAAAAGTGGGTTTGAAATCAAAGCAAGCCGTAGAACATTTTTAAACACACGAATTCATGGAAACGCTAAAAGATAAAAGGGTTCGACCAAGGGAGAAGGCCTTCAATAGACCTGTCCCCTCACTGGCCAGCATTGTTGTGTTGTCAGGTGCCCTGGAGTGGGTCCCAGACTCACAAGGACCCTGCCTGCATGCCACAGAACAACGAAACTGCCCGGTCCTGCACCATCCAAGACTGGTCTCCCCTGACAACAAGCTCAATGCGCGGGAGAGGACATTTTGCTGTCCTTGTTTCGAAGAGCCAATTATTTGTTCTGGCAGTCCACGTTACCTTCAATATCCCTCGCCAGCACCACTCCTTCCAATGCACTAGGTCTTCTTTGTACGAGGCAATTGACACTCCTGACCAGTAGGGGCGCCATCACCCTTGTGAAAGTCGTCGAAGGAACCGATGGAGGCATGTATGGGTCAGAGAAGGACATCTAAGCGCACCGCTCAGGAAACCTCCCTTTTCTAGTCAATAGGACAAAGGGCTAAACTGGACAAAGACAGGAACTGAAGAACAGCCAAACCCCAATCAGCGACTAGACAAGCACATGGGGTCGCCTCAAAAGCAGATCAGGGTGGCTCCAAAGGCCAGCATCCCCCAGCTCCCCATGGCTGTGATCGTCTGGAGCCAGGTGTCTGTCCCTGGCACAACGGCGGGGAGGAGTCTGAAGTCCCGTGAACAATTTACATGGTCTTGCTTTTATTTGACGGGCTGCAGCCAGTGCACGCGTTTTCCGCGAGCCTCTCTGATGGAAGGAGCGTTGGAAACACGACGTGTTAGCACTTAATGTGCCGTTCCATAGGGACCGAGTGGCAGCTGACCATTTCAACAACGCACCGTGTGGGCCACGGAGCCCCAGAGTAGGCATTAGGCTGCTCACTGCAAGGCTGGTGGTTCAAACCCACCGGCCACTCCTACGGAGGAAGGTGAGACCATCTACTTGTGTAGAAGCCCAGGGAGCCGTGCTGCCCTGTCCTTCAGGGGTCACAATGGACCCCGTGGTCGTCGTCGTGGTTTGATTAATGTTTGTAGTTTTACGCTTCCAATTCCCAGTGTTTTTCGACTCTTTATGTTTTTGTTATTTCAAAACTATCTCAAGTCAAAAGGAACTCAGTAAAACGAAAACGTACAACAGGTCTACAAACATGGTGCCTACGGTTATTTCAGAGGAGCTCGGGTGGCTCAGTGGGTCCCCAGGGACTCGATGGCAGTGAGTTTGGTTTTTGTTTTGTGGCCTGGATGTTTTCTATCGTGGGTAAGTTCGTAGCCCCGAGCACCGTGACCCAGATGTCACCCTGGCAGGCCTGTTTCAGGGTCCGGCCTCCTCCCTAGTCCCAACTCTGCTCTGTGGTGAAGAATTACAGCCCAGCAAGGGGAACCACATCCCGGTGGAGACTGCCCCATAGATTCTGGGAAAGGCTGGGGACAGCCCCAAGCAGGTCAGAAGAACCACAGGAAGGGCCCACTCAAGGGAAGCCTAAGCCTAAGCGCCCATGTGCCCCTCCAGGCGGATGAGAGGGGCGCCTTCAAGCCTGGCCTCTGGTTGGTGGGCTGTGGTGAGCACAGGAGCCCCATCGCTGCTTCTTACCTGGCTCAGGGCAAGCGCCTCCGGGCTGTGCCTGTAGAAGGTGTCTTTGAAGGACCCCAGCCAGGTCTCAGCAATCCGGACCTTGTTCCTCAGCATGGCCTCCTGGTCAGGGAGTGAGTGGGCATCCCGATTTCCATAAAGGTACCCTACCCGAGAGCAGGGAATGATCTCCACGGAGCCGCCGCAGAGCCAGGCCTGCCACAAAGGAGACAAGGGGCCCCGGTCCACTTTCACAAATGGGGGTGGGAGGCGGGGAGGGGCAGAAGGGGGTCTGTGGTGAAGGGCAGACAGCCATCAACACACACAGCGATGAGAAGAGTCCGCAGGGGAAGGCAGGAAGCCCAGATCTGCAAGTGCTGAGGTGTGGAGACTGGGGGCCAGCTGTCCAGGGGAGGGCCTGGGGGCTGTGCCGACACACCTCCCCATCCCATGAAACACATGCCCAGGCGTCAACACTCCGAAGAGGTGATCGTGTGCATTTGTATCCTCTGGGGGCACAGATGTCCCCAGTGATCGTGTGCATTTGTATCCTTGGGGGGCACAGATGTCCCCAGTGATCGTGTGCATTTGTATCCTCGGGGGGCACAGATGTCCCCAGTGATCGGAGACCGAGGGATTGAATGCTTGAGAAGTGTCCCCACAGCCCAGCCTGGGGCGGGTCCCCAAGACCATAGGGGCTGTCTACACTACTTTAGGAGACTATTCTCTCCTCCACCCCGAGTCTCCCAGAGGCTGCCCCGGTTCCACAAGAAGCCTCTCCTTCATTTCCTTCTGAGGATCAAGATGAGAAGGCACCACGCCTAGAGCTTCCCAAGGCCTCGTCCCCGACTAGCGGCATTCCCCAGGCTGCCTCCAACCTACAACCCAATGGTCCCCCCCTCCATCCAGGACGTACCTTGAGAGATAGTTCGAGGTTTTCGTCACCCGGAAGTGACATGAGAGGGTCATAGGCACCCGTGTTTTGGAAGTGACGTCTGTCCATCGCCACGATCCCGCCCGGCAGCACAGGGCTCCTGCACACAGACAGCGGGACAGAGGAGGTAGCAGCTCAGACCTGGACACCCGGCAGGCTGGGAGGCTGGGGATGGAGTACTGTGAAGTGCGGGCCTCAGACGGTCTGCTGGGCTCAGATAGACCTCGGTGCCTTGCACGGAAAGGTTGGCACAAAACCACAATGCATTATTTATTTTTTTTGCTAATGCCTGGACATACCAGTATTTTATGTACAAGGTGGCCAGGGCTGTCTGGACCTTCTCTGTGCCAGGCTCCTATACAAAGGGCCCGGGTAGCAGGTCTGAGGCTGCTCGGCCCTCCTGCTTGTGTCTATCTGGAGAACGTGGAGGAGGAAGGCTGAAGGTGTGACTCAGAAATTTGAGGGCGGTGGGGCTGTGCCTGCTCGCCCCCGCCCTCTTCCCCTCTTCCCTCACTCAGCCTTTTCTCATTTGCTCCTGAGCATTTTCCTGTGTCCGGGCTCTAGGACAAATCCACTAGGGGCTGTTGAAGTCCATAGGTCTTCTTCTAGCCCTGGGGGGAATATACGTGACTGATCAACTCTGGAAGCTAGAACTCCTCCCCAAAGAAACTAACGGGACAGTAATATCCCTCAGGAGAGGCTTTCAATGGAGGAAATGCAGCCAGGGGCTTTTGAACAAGTGACTCCTTCCTTCAGGACAAATGTCATGTAGCTAAGGTTCCTGCTTTGCCTTAAGATGCAAATGACTCAGAGTCCAGGTAGTTTAATAAAAAAGAGTATTACATTACAAAACAAAAATGAAACAACACTACAACTACCCTTTAAGATGCAAATGGGTTGAGAATGATGAGGGCAACAAATGTACAAATGAGCTTTACACAATTGATGTATTATAGATTGGGATAAGAGTATGATGAGCCCCCAATAACATGATTTTTAAAAAAAGATGCTCTAAAAAGCTCTCTGCCGTGAGTTGCTTCTGACTCAGAGCAACCTTCTGGGACAGAGTAGCACTTCCCCATAAGGTTTCCAAAGATTTTCTCTTCTATAGAAGCCGACCACATCTTTCTCCCGCATAGCTGCTGGTGGGTTTGAACCACCGATCTTTGGTTAGCAGCTTAACCTAACCATTACATCCTCATGGTTCCTTTTATGCTACTCAGGTTTTGTCAAAATCAGAAACACCAGTCTTGCAGTTACAACTAGGTTCAATTGCAACTCTATTATTTGCAAGATGTTGGATGAGATACAGGCCTCCCCGGGCTCAGCCCCCTCTCTTCTAAACTGGTGTTCATCACAGGGCTTCCGAACAGAGTTTGGGGAGGATGGAAAGAAGTCCTGTCAAGTGCTTAGGGTTATGCGTGTCGTATTGGAGTGCTCACTATTGCTAGAATTTCAAGAGAAAGACAGGGCTTTCTCCTCCACTAAAAAGATACCGTCTCAAAAATCCACCCCAGGGTCAGTTCTACCCTGTCCTACAGGGTCGCTGTGGGTCAAAATCAACGGGATGGCTGTGAGAGTGTTAGTATTACAGGTCCACTCTCCCATATTTGAAGTGCACGGGGCCATTGTGTTTTGAATTCAGAATTTGTTGGATTTTTTTTTAAAGAGGTACTTATCGTCTGTTCCATGACAGCCATACTGGGGCCTGGGTCGGTACTCTTTAGTCAAATACAGTAATAGTTCTTCAGAGAAACACAGAAATACAGCACGCGAGATCAATAACGACCGATGGGAGAAAGACCAGGCTTCCTGTTCCTGTAAAGAGGGAATATCTGGAAAACCCACGGGAGCAGCATCTCTCCTGCCTTACAGGGTGCCAGGGGTCAGCATCAACGCAATCCAATCTAAACGTGGTTGGCAGGCCCATGCCACTCCGGGGCAGCTCCTGCCACCAAACAGAGATGGGGACAATGAAGCCTTCATCGTCCCTTCCATATTGGCACCCAAGAGTTCGGCTTGCCAACTTGTATTCAAAACCCAGCCTGGCATAGCGGTGGGGTCCCAGGAGGCTGATTTTTCCCGGTTTTCAGTAGGCTCTGCCTCTTATTAACTTTATCAAGCTTTATAGTCGCACGAACCTCAGCGTTGCTCTCTGTCACCTGGGATTGCTAACTGCGGTTGCTTCCCAGAGCTGTGGTACATTTGCACAGTAGACAAGGGGAAAGATGTTTGAGGGACGGCGTCGACACCTGGCACAGGGTCCGTGCTCAGTAGACGCTGTTGCTCTGCCGTGAAGCACTCTTTTCGGTCTGGAATTTTCTCTGCATCTGTATGTAGTCTACCCCGGGCCATGTCGTCATTCCTCATGAAGTACTCTCTGGACCAGCAGTTCTCAACCTGTGGGTCACGACCCCTTTGGGTCACGGGGGCTGCCTGATTCATCACATTAGCAAAATGACAGTGATGAAGTAGCAATGAAAATAATTGTATGGTTGGGAGGGTCACTGCAACGTGAGGAACTGTATGAAAGGGCCGGCACGAGGAAGGTTGGGGACCACTGCTCTGGACGGATTGTAGGAGGCAGGGCTGTGACGTCTGAGCATCCAGAGAGGGGGTAGACATGGGAAAGTCTGAGTGAGGAGGGCTCTGGGCTCCAAATGTGAAGCCTGAAGATTCAAAGGGATCTCGGGGCAAAGATGTCTGGGTGCTCTGATGACCTGGAGAAGAGTGGCCGTTGGCTGAGGGCGGTCCCAGGTGCTAGCGGACACTCTTGGGAAGGGCTCCAGGAAGGTCTCGGGTCGATGCATTCATTCATGGCCCTGTGGCCGGCGCTGCCAAATGCGGTCCATCATTGTTAGGGTTGGGAGCATATGATAGAAATGTCCTTGGGCAGACGGGACTTGGCGTGCTTTCCACGGACACCACAAGACCTCGGATCACACAAGACTGACATTGCTTCCATTGACAGGTGGGGTCTCGGTCCCCTTCCTGTAAGGCTGAGTGGATATGGGGTGGAGATGGAAGTGACCCAAGGTGACTTCTGAGACATAGTCATAAGGGGATAACAGCTGGCTTCACCTGACTCCTTCCGGGTCCTGGCTCTCCTAGTCCAGTATCACGGGTCGCCCCAAGGAGCCCCTGTGAAGAGACTTCCTGGAGAGAACTCGTGAAGTGGTCCCAGCTGACAGCCCCAGCTGAGGCCCTGGCCGACAGCCAGCCCTCCACCATCGGACTCAGGTGAGAACCCGCCCCAGAAGAGTCCAGCCCCACCTGGTGAGCCACTCTTGGCCTATCGAATCTTCCAGGCTAAAGCCCAAGACCCTGTGGAAGACAGACAAGCAACCCACAGTAGCAGAATTCATGGCCCACAGCAGCTCTAAGTGGCTGTTCTTTGACAGCACTAGTGTGACTTGTTATGCAGTGGAAGAGAACTAGAACATCTACTTAAATAGAATCATTGTCTAAAGTACAACCACTGTGAGAACAACCCACAAAAAACTTTGAGACCTAACTGTCTAAGCACTCACCTTCCTTTTAACTGAGAAGCAGTTTGAGTCCAGGGAGTTTCCGTGCTTATCTGGCAAGTGGGGGTCAAGATCCCAACTCCAGTTCTTGTGCTCCCCCATCTGGGGCATTCCTTGGAACTAACTAGAACAGTGGTTCTCAACCTTCCTATTGCCATGACCCTTTAATACAGTTCCTCATGTTGTGGTGACACACCCCCACCCAACCATAAAATTATTTTTGTTGCTACTTCATAACTGTAATTTTGATACTGTTATGAATCAGGGGACCCCTGTGAAAGGGTCATTTGACCCCCAAAGGGGTCGTGACCTACAGGTTGAGAACCACTGAACTACAAGAACATTGGTATAACGATGACACCTAGAGCCAAGTACCTGGAATGCTCTAATACTTTTCATATACTAGCTCATTTCAGCTTCTTAACAACCCTATAAGATAAATACTATTATTACCCCCAATTTATGAGTGAGGAAGCTGATTGGGTACTTGACTAGAGAACTGGTGGTGTCAGGATTAACTTCCTGACATTCGGCATAGCAGGCAAAGGAAAAGCAGGGTGGGTGTCGAGGTCTCACTTGATCGGGCTGATGGGAGACTGGAGGGCCTTCCTTTCACGCTCTGGCAAAGGCTCCCAGTGGGAATCCAGCTTCCAGTCCAACACCCCACGTTGCAGGTCCTTGGATGGGTAATACTGGAAAGCCTTCCAGTCAATCACATCGATGATCGGAGACACCACCCGACTCCTATGGAGAATTACAGGATTAGATAAAGGCATCCCAACCATCCCGATGCCGGGGCAGAGAAGCACCACCTAGTCATGCACGGTCTATATGGCAGCCACGAGCCACACCTGACAAGGCCCCTCCGGTGTGCCGTAGATCATTTACCCTCATTGACTCGCTAGCAGTGGATTTGACTTAAGTTTTACCAAAGGTTAGGTCTCTAGTGGGGTAGGGGGTTATGCTTTGAGCTGCTCACCACAAAGTCAGCAGTTTGAAACTGCTCCACGGGAGAAAGACGTGGCTTTCTCATCCTGTCAAGAGCTACAGTTTCAGAAGCCCACAGGAACAGCTCCACCCGGTCCTGCGGGGTCGCTATGAGTCGGGATAGACTGGGTGGTCATGAGTGAGAACCTCAAGGTGGCGCTGTTGGGCAAACTTTGGCCAGCCAATGGCTAGGTCAGCGATTCAAACTCAACAGACCTCCATGGGAGCAAGATGAGGCTCTCTGCTCCCACCAAGACCCACAGCCTCAGAAACCCTACAAAAGGCCACCAAGAATCGGAGTCCGCTTGATGGTGGTGGGAACCCAAAGGCTGGTAGTTCAGACTCATCCAGAGAGGAGAAAGGCCTACTGATCTGCTGTCAAACAGCAATCAAAGCCAAGAAGACCCGATGGAACAGTTTGCCATGGGCTCACCGTGCGCTGGGATGGACTTTATGGCAACAGGCCTGGTTTTTCTGTTACTGATAAGGACCACGTGGGCTATGGGCATGGAAGATATGGCTTGATATGGGCTATAATTAAACACTAGGCAATAGGCTTCGAAGACACGGTGGAATGATAGTCTCAACATAACAGTGGTGAGGGTGGCGCAGGACGTGGCAGTGTTGTGTTCTGTTGTCCACTGGGGGCTCTGTGCGTCTGAACCACCTCCACAACACCTAGCAATAGATCCCCAGAGTGGGAAACTTTCCAGTAACGTTTCATATTGATTTTATGTTGAAAAGTCATTTTTTGGGGGGTGCATATATCGGTTTTATGAAAGCATGTTATTAAGATCGGTTTCATCTTTTTCTTTTTAATGTGGCTACTGGAATTTTAAGTTATATACATGGTTCATGTTACCTATTTCTGGTCAGTACCAATTTCTCCCCTGGATAGGGGTTGTTCTAGAATATATGTATATGTAGGTGTGTGTGTGTGTGTGTGTGTGTATGAAAATTTGGATCCATTTTCCTGAGGACCATGCCTGACTTTTTCTTCCTTTAAAAACCTCTTTTCGGCACCAGAGAAATGGCAGCCACGCCCGGCTCTGCCGCCAGTGAACTGCCTCATCTTGAGGTCTTTACTGGGCCAGCGGTTCCCCGTTTGCACAATAGGTTTAACTCCCTCCCAATAAAGGTCTTTCTAGGACTGTGCTCTTAACTCTTCTGGGGTCTTTGATCCCTTTGAGAGCCGCAGGGAAAGGATGCGTCCTTCCCCGGAAGATTCAAGCACACGGAGAAACCGTTGTGACCGTGTCCAGTGGTTCTTGGAGCTTTGCGTGAGGACTGGACTCCTTGTTCCTTCCTGAATCTTGAGCTGGGCGAGCCCTGAGAATCAGGGCTGCCACGCCCTAGAGCAGCGGTTCTCAACCTCTGGGTCCTGACCCCTTTGGGGTCGAACGACCCTTTCACAGGGGTCGCCCAATTCATAGCAGTAGCAAAATGACAGTGATGAAGTAGCAACGGAAATAATTTCATGGCTGGGGGTGGTCCCCGCCACAGGAGGAACTGTATGAAAGGGTTGTGGCATTAGGAAGGCTGAGCACAACTGCCCTAGAGTGTGCCAAAGATTTGTGCTTGGCCGCTAACTGAAAGGTGGGTGGTTCGAATCCACCCCGCAGTGCCCCAGAAGACAGGCCCAGAGCTCCGTTTTCACAAGATCACAGCTTGGACGAGCCTATGGCGCACAGTGCCACTCTGGCACCTGTGGGGTTCCCAGCTGTTAGCACAGAGCCAATGGCCAAGGGTAATTGCCTGTTGCTTGTGTGTATGTGGACGTGTTGTCTGCAAGCGACCCAAAGTCCCGAGTCTTGTTTGTTTGCTCAGTTACTCTTACTGCCGGTGACTTCATTTTATCCTTAAAAAAAACCAATTCAGAGCCTGTTGATATGACTTTGGAGAGAGGGGGAGATGGGAAATGGATACAGACCCAAACCGCACCTACGACCTAAACAGTTAACCACGCAACTGTACCGGGAGCTGCTACCCATCTAGGCAGTGTCCATCACAGCCCCCACCACCCCCAGCCCTTCTGAAGTCCGTACATGGGAAGGTTCCGGCCCGAACTCTGGGGGCTGGAAAGTATGGCGCTAAGAGAAGCAAGATTCCTGGTTGGACTCTGATCCTGTTCCATCTCTGTACCATCCATCTTGGGGACAGCTGGGCTGGCACATGCCTAGGCCACACAGACGGACCTGGGTGGTCCTGAGATTCAATGATCTCCCTTCATCCGTGTGGGTTTCGGTGCCTGACGTTGGCGTGAGGTGTTGTGGATCTATTTGGAGAGGAAGGATCTTGCCTGGCTTTTCCTGCCTTCTCTGCATGGTTCCCTGAGGGACGAAAGGATTGGAATATCTTTGGGCACTCGCTGTTCATCAGAACCATGAGAAGAAAGACCAGGCTGGAAAGGAGGGCATCCAGACCCCTTCCGAGTCTCCACTTACTCTGGAAGGAGCCGAGCAGATGGGATGGATTTAACTGCTGGCAAAGTGTTTTGTGGAATTTCAGAGACGAGTGCCAGGGGAAGCCGTGCCACTGAGTTCTGAAGCATTGCATCAAATCTGCGCCCCCTTCACTCATCACAACAGGACAAGAGAGGAAATCACACCCAGGCATCCGCCAAGTCACTCTGCCTGAGAATCCTGTGCGGTGGTCCTGGGTCACACTGTGTTTGTGGCTTTTTATCAAAAAATGAGAATTCTAAAATTAGCTTCATTTTTTGCTTTGTCTTGGCAGAAGCTCCGTCGGGGTACAGCTCACCTCTGCCCACCTATCTCTCTTTGCTTCTTAGAAGATATTATCTCAGTGACTTTGGGCACCTCCTCAGGAGAGCCCAAGTACTACCAAAAGTCATCACTTTGGGTAAAGGCGAGGGTCAGTGGCAGCGCCCAGGAGGTGTGCTGACCCAGTGGCTGCCGCCTGGGCCCAGACATAAAGAAGACCATGGGAGCAGCATGGGCCAGGGCACGTTTCATCCTACGGTAGGCAAGATCACCATCAAACGGATAAAGCTGTTTTTAAAACGGCGTCATTCCTGATCCCAATAGTGTCACCTCCCTGCCGAATCTCCCTCTTCCTACTAGCCTCTTAGTCCTCTGACCCATTGCCATAGGGCCAATGCGGACACCGAGTGACCCTGTAGGACAGGGTGGAACGGCCCCACAGCCTGGGTTTCCAAGGCTGGACTCTTGGCAGAAGCAGGCTGCCAGATCTTGCCCCCACGAAGTGGCTGGTGCATTTGAACCACCAAGTTCTTACCGAGCAGCGGAGCACTTAACCACTGCGCCACCGGGGCTCCTTGTAACCAGGTACCAAACCCCAAACCCAGTGCCATCAAGTTGACTCATCGTGACCCTAGATAGGGTTTCTACAGGGTCAATCTTCACTACGGGAACAGACAGCCTCGTTTTTCTCCTGTGGTAGCAGCTGGTGGGCATGAACCGTCAAGTCTGTAGTTTGGAACTGAACACCTGACCCACTGTTTCCCCAGGACGCCCTCCTTCAAATCCAGTAGACGGGTGGTCAGTCAGATGCCCCCCGTGAGCGCATTTGGGCAGAAACAAAGAATGAAACGTCCGTGAAGGGGACGACAGAGTCACTTTCTGCTTCAGTTTTTATTCCCATGGTGCCCGGAGGCTCCTCACCAGGCTGATCTAGTGAGTGACTGCAGTCTGGTAAATGGGAAAGGTTAACCCATTTAAAAAAAAACAAACCACAAGCGTAGATTTAGCTTTGTGCTTTTGTGCTTAAAGATGTGTCTGGCGTTCTTGGAATGCGCTTAGAGCAACATAGCGACACTACCCACCAAGAACTTGGAAGGCGCTGGGAGCATCTGTTCCCCCTCTCACCCGTGAGCAGTTTTCCCTCTCAGACAAACACAAGGCTGATCCTCCTCTAAGTCCTTCTAAGCACCACGGGGTCAAGTGCTTGGGTTTCAGAAGACAAAAACGGGGGCAGTCAAGCTGCCAGCAGAGACTGGCTACCTGGAATATGCGAGGTCAAGTCCTAAGCTATCGCCCAGACATGCAGAAGCCGAATGGTTTCAAGTTCCCAGCCAAACCTTTCACCACGGAGAGTCAGCCCCTGTGGCTGGCGCTCAGGTCCATTCTGACCCGTGGCGACCCCGTGGGGGTCAGCGTAGCACTCTGCTGCAGAGGGGCTTCAGGGGCTGAGTCTGGGGGCGGGCATTGCCAGCCCTTTCTGGATAGACTCAACTCTCAGGCAGCAGCCCAGGAGGGCTCGGCAGTGGAGGGCTCTTTCATCTCCTCTCATTTTCCCTGGGCAGAGATTTTCCTCTGGGGTCTCCAGAGACGAGCCGTTTGGAAATCTTGTTCAGATTCCCAATGTTTGTGGGGAGCACACGCTCCGGAGAAACAGAAGGATCTGGAGTCTCCCTTCCCAGCCTCTTCTTTGAGGCCAGGGCCGCTGGCAGCTGTTTCAGAGACTGAGTTGAGGACGCTGCAGTGGGGAGGAGTGGGGTGGGATGGGGGCTGCAGGGTTTCTGGGGTATCATGTCCTCTGAGAGCCTGGAAGGCATCTTGATCACACACACACACACACACACACACACACACACACACACTCAGGCTCACACAGAGGACCCCCTCAGACTTGCTCCCACCACTCCATCCCTTGGAAGGCAGAGGGCTGGGAGCTATTCTACTCTCTGCTCCCCCTTGCTCCTCATCTCTGGCCAGGATGGTCTCTCACTCAGCTGGGGACCAGCGCACCCGGCCAAGGAGGAGCAGCTTGGTCAC